CAAACACTGGTCACCGGCACAGAGTAGTCAAAATGTTTGGGGATATACAACAAGTGTTAACTATTATAAATTCTGAACGGCTCTTCAAATCTATACCACTCTGTATCGTTCGCGAACAACTTCATCTGTGTCAAATACTAGAGCCGGTACAATATTGTAAACAAATGCCATGATATCTCAGTCATATCGCTATTGTATACACTACCTTTTTTATTCTGGTTTGCACAAACGTTGCATAGCCGTCAAACATTCAAATATATTTAGTTTTTAACTATCTATTATACTAATTATATGCACGCAATTTGACCCTTTGACCTAGATTTGATTGGGATGGAATATTTTATTTTAAACAATATTCTGACGTTACTTACTGCCCCAAAAATGTTTCAACACAATTGCGGTATGACTGTCCGATTTACAAGTGCATCAGGTAATATATTAATAACGATTCCCACCAATCGCTAGCTTATTTTTTTAGGAGAGAGTAGGAAATCAAACAGCCGCAGGTCGCCCGCCTTTTATGCATAGATTTCATGACGCCGTCTGACAGCGGTCGGGTACGAAAAGCTTGCACAGCAATTCACACTTACTGTCAAGACAATGAATGAACAGAAAGGACTGGGAAATTAAAAACATTATATTTCCACAAAGTTAAATAAATCTGGCTGCATCAAAAGCTTGGAAACTAGTTATAATATTTTGCAAAAAACTGAGTGATCAACGACATCATTTTGGGATGCAATTGAACTTTAAATACTTCATTGCGTAACTTACGCGCGGCGATGCTGACATCAAGTGTGTGTTGACCGAAGTTTGACCCCAAAGTCACGCACTGAACCGTCGCGTTACCTTAGCAATCTTTTTCTTTCATGCTTCGCGCATCGCTCTTGTAAAATTGTTATTAGTTCCGATGGTGCTGTACGCAAACTTGTATATTTTGAAGTCGTTTACTTAGTGCGCTGCTTTTCTAATTACGCCAATCTGTTTACAATGTTGTACCGGCTCTAAAAATTTCAACATTGTAATATATCGATTTCATAATAAATACGCAAACTCAGTTATTTAATATAGGACACAGG